GCTTTTGGAAGCTCTCCTCACATTTTTCAGTCCATTCAAATGGTATCTCATTTTTGGTCAAATTAGTCAAGTGCATGGCGATAGAATGCCTAACTGCATGAACTTAGACTCTAAGGTCTGAATTTCCTTAACTAAAGGTCGTTTGGATGCACTCAAGCAAGCTAAACTACCCATACTCACCGCCTTTCGACTCAAAGCGGCTGCCACTACATTAGCCTTACCCGGATGGTAATGAATGGTGACATCATAATCTTTAAGTAACTTCATCCACCTTCGTTGTCTCAAATTCAGATCATTTTGAGTGAACACATGTTGCAAACTGCGATGATCAGTACACACTTCACACTTAACACCATAGAGGTAAGCCGCCAGATCTTAAGAGCAAACACTACCGCTGCCAACTCCAAATCATGTGTTGGATAATTCTTCTCATGTATCTTTAACTAACGTGAGGCATAAGCTATAACATTCTTATCCTGCATCAACACCGCACCCAAACCAGAATGTGAAGCATCACAATAAACAATAAAATCTTTACCTTCAACCGGTAATGCTAGAATAGGCGGGATGGTCAAAAGAGTCTTGAGCCTTTGGAAGCTCTCCTCACATTTTTCAGTCCATTCAAATGGTATCTCATTTTTGGTCAAATTAGTCAAGTGCATGGCGATAGAAGCAAAGTTCTTCACAAATCGATGATAATAGCTAGCGAGCCCCCACAAAACTCTTAACTTCAGTCACAGAACTTGGTCAAACCCAATTCTTAACCGCCTCAATCTTTTGAGGATCTATCATTACCCCTTCTTTTGAAACTACATGTCCCAAAAATGCCATAGAAGTCGACCAAAATTCACACTTAGAAAATTTCGCATATACCTTTTGCTTCCCAAGAACATCCAAAACGATACGAAGATGGTCGGCATGCTCTTCCTCACTTTTCGAATATACCAAAATATAATTAATAAAGACTATGACGAAAGAATCAAGAAATGGCTTGAACACCCCATTCATTATACTCATAAAAGTTGTAGCCACATTGGTCAAACCAAAAGACATAACCAAAAACTCATAGTGCCCATAGCGAGTCCTAAACGTCGTCTTGGGCACATCCTCAGGCCTAATTTTCAACTGATGGTAGCCAGACCTTAGATCAATCTTAGAGAAACTAATGCACCTTGCAATTGGTCAAAAAGATCATTTATTCAAGGCAAAGAGTACTTGTTTCGAATAGTGACCCTATTCAATTGCCGATAATCTATACACATTCTCATACTAACATCTTGTTTCTTAACAAACAAAACTGGAGCACCCCATGGGGAAGCACTAGGACAAATAAATCTCTTATCAAGAAGCTCTTAGGTTTGAGCCTTAAGCTCTCTTAATTCTACTAGAGCCATACGATATGGAGGGATAGAAATGGGACGCGTACCAGGCTCTAAATTAATGCAAAAATCTATATCTCTATCCGGAGGCATACCAGACAAATCACTAGGAAACACTTCTCTAAATTCCGACACCACAGGAATAGACTCAATGGATGGAGCCTCAATCCCAACATCTCTAATATGAGCCAAATAAGCCAAACAACCTTGCCCTATCGATTTCCTAGCTCGAATGGAGGCTATGATCTTAGCTTACTTAGGCTTGTACACCCCTTCCCACTCTAATTTTTCCCTCCCCGAAATTTCTAGAGTTACAGACTTAGTATTACAATTAAGCACGGCATAATAGGGGGACAACCAAGTCATGCCTAAGATTATATCAAAGTCAGTCATATCCAAAATTACCAAATCAGCCCAAGTCTGAAAACCCATAAACAAAATAGGACAAACACGATAGACATGGGTAACTATGACTGACTCTCCCAAACTGGGGGTGGGTAGAAACATGGATAGGGGCATCAAGTATATCACAAAATCATATTAAACTTTGAGGCAAATCGCACGGATACATAAGAAAAAGTAGAATCCGGATCAAACACTACAACAATAAAAGCTTTTAGCGGCAATTAATATGCACCTTAGTGGAAACATAAATTGCCACTAAAACTTTTATCGTCATTTAATTTATTGTCATTGGATTCAATGTCCCTAAAGGCTTTAGTGGCAATTATAAAGAGTGCCGGTAAAGATACCAACTATTGCCGCTAAAAGATTTCAATTTTAGCGGCAATTATTTACTGGCAATAACAATGGCCACTAAAATCACCTGAAATTTACATCTTGCATAATCAATAATGATGCATCTAATTGGCAATAAAACTGCCCACAAATTGCAAATACTAATATTAAGAAATGACGTTCTTCATTAAAATCACAATAAACAAAAACAAATAACTATTCATTCATAATCTTAATGTCAACAACATAACATGAAAAAAATTACTCCACTTGATTCCAAAAGCTAATCTTCTTTTTTTTAGAAGGTAAAAGCTAATCTTGTTCTCATTTCAATAATCTTCCACATATCAAATCTCTAAACATCATAGAGTACATATCTATATCCTCTCAGAAACCATTGCCTCGTGTCCTCTCGGATACCATCATTCCATATCAAAACAATAGGATACTCTGCACTAGCCAACACCATGTCTTCTTGATGTTACCAGACCCCTGGATCTCGAATTGTCATGCAAAGATGAATTTCTTAGGCATAAGAAAATGTTTCACTTGAATTTCCCTTTTAGGACCTTCAAGTTTGCCCTTCAGACTACCTGAAGTTGTGTCCCACTCTCATATGCCCATCAATGCTTTCAGGAGAAGGCAACTGACCATCAGGACTAAAAGCCAAACTAAACAAAATCTCTGTGATCTGAACCATATGTCAAAAAACAAAAGTTAAAAGGTATATCAATAAGACATATCTAATTAGCGATACAAAACCATAAATCATTCGGATAATAAACATGAGACAGATTCTTAATGCCAGGCATGACTCATTTACCTTCTAATAACTTTAAACTAGAATCACCTTAACCAATCTTCCATATAAATTCTCCTTCGTCTCCACCACATGTTGCCACCAAATTAGCATCTGTCGGACTGCAGATACCAGTTTATGCTTCATTTATAAAGAGAAAATGTATTGAAATAGTTAAAATATAAAGTAAACAGAAAAGAAATCCACTCCAAAGTACAGTCTAGTTATAGTTTTATACCCAATCGGGAGGCATTGACTATCATATGGATACATTTAACTTTTAACTAGTCCAAAATCAATAAAAACACATTTACCTAAAATCATTATGTTGGTGAGGAAAACAATCTTATGTGAAGTATATTCAACTATCTGAATATCTGATTCAATTTTCTTATAGGGAAAATATTTACATTAATAAGTGGAAAAATTCCAGCATACAAGAAGCAATAAGTGGAGGACCAACACAAGATGGAAACATATAGCTATGCACACTATCATTTAGATAAAAGGGATCTCACATGTTTTCAAGAGTTTGTAAAACACATATAGCATGTGACGAGTCTAGCTAGCATTAACCAACCATACGACACTTCATAAGCTACATACGCATGCAAGTTTTACAACACAAATATGCAAGGAGTCCTTCCACTCCCAAATGTGAAGGCTTTAGATGCCTAAAACAACATAGACTAGCTTGCTTAAAAGAAATATATGATTAACGACATGCTCTGTGTCAGAGGCGTATCTAGAGGGGGTGCCGTGGGTTCACGTGAACCCATGCTCCCCTCTCTAGATCATATATAGTAGTGTTATATTTTTAAAAAAATATTTAAATATAGATGTGTGAACCCATGTTCAAAGTATCATATAATAATACGATGATGATTAGGTGCACCTCTCTAACTGAGGATAAAAATTTAAATATTATATCTATCTTGTCTTTTTGAGTAACACCACTCCAAGTGGTTATCAGTGACACTTTTGACGTTTCAACTAATTTTTCTTTTGTATTTTTGCCTTTAATCTTTCAAAATTTTCAAGCGTCTTACATTGAAAATTCCTAAAAAATTAAGCACCGTAATTTTTTTATATAATTAAATCAATTGTGTATATTAAAATTTAAAACTAATAGTATTATATATTTTGAATCTATAGTTTTTAAAATTTAATGGTTCATATTTAGAACCTAAAAGTCAAATGATCAAATTTATATTTAAGATACATTTCTTCGTAATCGTGCACCCATTTAACCGAAATCCTGGATACGCCTCTGCTCTGTGTGTTAATAGAATTTTGAGGTACGGACCTGTCATACACTCCTACTGCAGGTTGTAGTGGATTCATGGTATCATATGAAATCTGTAGCTTAAAAAAGTATGCAAATCAAAGGAGGACAACAAACTCAACTTCTGATACGATCGTGTGACCTTTTTCATGACTAGTCAATATCTTTGCTGATAAAAGTTCCCAAGGAACAACGGCAAAACTAAACACACATGCTTTCTGGTAGTAAGGCAGATAATTGATGATCTAAAAGGAAAATAAAAGTTTAACAGACCAAGTTTACAGTGGCACAAGATAGTTATGCACGTGGTAATATACGTCATATACATTAGCCACAAAACGTAGCCCTTGGTGTTAATTAGATATCATCGAACAAGGTGGCAGAAACAAAGAAAGCACATAAGCTCCAATTTTATATTGCACAAGTAAAACTCAACTTGAACTTACAAATTAATACTCGGTCAATCTCAGAAATTAGAGTCGAGGTCTTGCAGATATCAATTTTCACTTAATCAACGTCCTCCGCAAGATAAGAAGTGCAAAACCTCTGAGAAAGAAAATCAACCTGAGCCAGAGAGTAAATTAACAAGCTTGGCTAGTAGAAACACAAAGTTACATTGAAACTACTCATATACAATAGCAGATTGTGATCACAAATTTTAAACTCACCAAGATAGAGCAACTAAAACCTTATTCCAAGTTTACAGAGCTAAGCTTGTCAACTTACCAACTAGGGAAAACGATTACTACATATGTCAAGCTGCGGAATTAGAGCAACCACAAATAGCCGAGCTCCAATTGGTGTACCTGTCATAACAGTTCCACCAGAACTCTTTAGGATATATGAATAAGAACATGGATTTTCTTCCAGATGTTCTCATGGACAATAAAATACATGCTACCAGCAGCAAAAATGTTAGATACTCTTTAGAATCTATTGATGCTTACAACACACAAATAAAGTAGGATAAAGATGCAAATTATAGCAGAATTTTGAATCGAAAAGATGAAAAGGTTAAATTTTCAACCAGTGTTAGATTGAAAATTGACAGTGTGTTCAAAATTAGGGATTGAAGAAAACGACTCAACTTTGATTCGAGCGAGGACTCGAATACATAAATCTGATTAGAAGAGAAAACAAAGACATACTGAAAATGTAAAATGGCTTAAGCTTCAATTCTAACAACTTAGGTTTTTCATAAGACGATTGCACGCGCTAAAATTGCTCCTAATATCTCAAACACGAATAAAAATATCATAACTTCATTAAACTTCCAAAAATAAAGAAATTCAGATAGTAACCGATGAAGGAGGAAGAATACCGACATAGTAGCGGTGTTGATTCGTAGCGGAGGTGGATTTGGAGGTCCGGATAGCGGTGGTGGATACGGTGGTTTTGGTGGCCGTGCTGAATACGATGGCTCCAGTGGCGCCGGAGAATACGGTGACTTAAGCGGCGGTGGATAAAATGGCTACGGTGGCTCTGGAGGTGGTGATTCTGGAGGAGGAGGAGGGCAGCGGATCTAATGGCCAGCGTCTTTTATTGCTTTGAGGGAATAAGTAAAATATTAAAATTGAATTTAGTTATTGACTTTTAGTGGCAACTATCTTTTAAGGGAAAATTACGCGGTTAAGCAAACTTATACTACTTAATTACTCATTATAGCTATAGTTTGCTATAATTACCACTCACGACTAACATTATACATTAATTACGCGGGCTGACTTCGAGTTTGTATATGTATAATTCGCCAGAATATACAAATACATATGTATAATATATAATTATCTAACCTATATACATATACAATTCACCTCTCTCCCACTCTCTGCCCTCTCTCGCTCGCTTCTCTCCTCCCTCTCCCAATCTCTCTCGCCTCTCTCCTCCCTATAATATATAGCTACGAATTGTAATTATCAAACTATAGCTATGGAGAGTAATTGGGCTATTTTTGAGTTGCTATATGTGAAAGTTCCCCATCTTTTAATGCCACTGAAAAGAGAATTTTTTTTACGGTGAATGTACATTTGCCGCTATATCTTATTTTAGAGATTAAATTAGTGGCAATTATTTTATTGCTGCTAAATAATTGCCACTAAAAATACTTTTTGGTGTATTGAAACAACACATTAGCCATCCGCTCACAGACAAGAATAGTACTTGTGATCACTGCATCAGACGCCTCTGCCTCATTCTTGCCCGGAAATGCATAACACTGAGACCTATCATCTTGACGAGCCACTTCCCTGCCTGGTTACGCATTACCCCTGACTGCATTACCATTACCTCTACCTCCACGGCCTCGTTGATTACCTCCTCGCCTACTTTGTGGACGTCCTCTACCATTATTACCATTCCCCGCGGGTACCACTGCTCTAGACTGCTGATGTGTGGAATCTAACACACGTGGGTGGAGAAAATTTCTCTTCATACGCCCAGGTTCACCACAGTTGTAGCAAGTACGATCAAAATATGGTCTACCACCCGTCGAAGGCGCGACTCCCTAGCTATCCTGAACATTATAAGATGGAATTTCCGAGTAACTACCTGCAGAGGTAGGCATAGCGGACTGAATTGACTTGGCTGCAAGCGTTTGCCTTCCGGACCCCTTGGAATAAGAACCTTGAAAGTTACCCGGAGTTCTTGGCCCTTTTTGTCCATGCCTTAGCTTGACCGTTTCGCCTCACCCTTCCCCCCCCCCAACTTCTTAACATAGTCTATTACCTCATTGAAGCTCCTCCCTGCAAGTAGCATATCTAGACAAGGCATGGAACTTGGCCTTCATAAGGCAGCCACAGTCATACCACCCTGCTCCAAAGCCATGAACTCATCCTTCTTGAGATCCCTCAAGGTCCTAGGCACATACTTCTCTATAAACAGAGCATGAAATTGGGTCCAAGTAAGTGGAGGTAAAGTAGAAGATCAGCATTCCATATAAGCTCTCCACCACAGCTTAGCCTCACCTTGAAGTTGAAAGCACATGAACTCAACCCCATGTTAATGGACAAATTCCCAACTTATGAAGCCTCTCATAGCAATCTAAGATAAACTCATAAGCATCCTCATTCTCAGAACCAAGAAACACATGAGATTTTAGCTTCAAAAACATAGTCAACATTTCATGTTCATTACCAGTCATAACAGAACCCAACAAAGGACGGAAGAAAGCATTATTACCTCCGGTCCCACCCACCTTGGGCGCAGTGCCAGCAACAGAAAGGTTAGTAGGAGCTTGAGTTGCTTGAGCAAAAGGAAGCACTCCAGGACCAACCAACCCTTTCAAGAATGACATGATATGTCGAGCTAACACTGGGTCTATGGGGGGAACATCAGTAGTCTCAGCCTGCACCTCTTCCTCTTGTCCCACATCCTCAACATTCTCAACATCAACATTTTCCTCTTCAATCTCTTCATGATGCGCAAGAGGGTTCTTATTCACATGAGCATTCTCAATAGGAGCTCCATTTCCAGCAGGCGCTACTCTTTTACGGCCTCTACCCCTGCATCGACCGTGACCTCTCGCTGCAGATTCCTCAGCTAGAGCATTGACGGGAGCTACGGGCCTAATACTGTTGAATCTAGTATTAACCATCTACAGACAGAAGAGTGAAAGAGGTTAGATACCAATTTGAATCGCCAGATACCAATTGGAATCAAGTCATAGCACAAAATGAGACAAGAGAAACAGTGAGATTTCCCAAAGTTCTATAGCCTCTCGAAGAAAAGTAAAGGCGTCCCCGTACCGTTCCGCAAGACTATACTAGACTTGTTTTGGTACATCGAGATCAACAAACCTAGGCTCTGATACCAACTTTGTCACGACCCAGACCGTCGTAATTGGCACCCACACTAACTCTCTAGTGGGAGAACCACTACTACAACCCAAACCAAGCAACTAAATCAAAACTAAGGCATTTAAGTTACGGAAGCAAGTTAAATATTAGGAAATAAATAGAGTTCCATAAACTCTAACAAAAGTCTAACAATAATAAACTAACATTGCGAAAGTAATGCCTATAACCTTAAAGTCAATGTACCAAAATATCAAAAACTCAACAAGTCTAAATACGAAGGGATGCAACCCCAATCTAATGAACTAATCAACTAACTAGAACATAGTCTAAATCCGGAAATGGTGGACATAGACGAAAGAGAACCCATGGCAGCCCAGAAGAATTGGCTCACCCTTGAATTCGAACGATCACTGATCTCCTAAGTGAGGTCTATCAGTAGCCGCTTGAAGATGCCCTATACTCAACAAAAATAAGAGCAAGTGCAGTATCAGTACACAACCACAGTGTACTGGTAAGATCACGCGGCTATCCCACTAAGTGCAACATACATAAGTCAAATAACAATATAATCACATGCATATATCAAACATATACAATATCATCAACATTTACAAATAACGAACAACTTCACATGTCTCAAAATATACAATTATGACAAGTCAATGGTCTTCTCATGGAACCCAAACCCAAATAGTTAGCATGTCGGAACGTGGCAACC